AGCCACTGGGATTATGGGCATGCACCACCTTGCCTGCACTTTCTTATCTTTCTTTGGTACTGATCCATGTTGGAAGTTATTAGTAATTATGTCTGTCTGTCTCTCTCTTTTCCTTTTTGTGGTTCTAGGGAATGAGTTCAGAGGCACCACCATTCAGCTATGTCCCCAACTCTTTATTTTTTTATTTTGAGACAGGTCTCACTAAATTGCTAAGACAGACCTCAAATTTGTGATCCTCCTTGCTTCAGCTTCCTAAGTCACTGGGATTACAGGCGTGCACCACCATATCTTGTTCATCTTTGTCCTTTCTTGCTTCATAAATATCCTAATGCTGAACTGCCTTCTAAATCTTTCCATGGTACTTTTTGGAATCTTGGTTTCATGGGACATTACTAAGGAATGACTTAACAGTTGTAACTTTTATGGGCCAATAACCAGCATCAAATCAGGATGAGGATCTCTAAGCAGATTCCAAAATTGATAGGTGATTTAAAACTCTGCCCTTCCCTGAATCCTTAGCACTTCTCTCTCCAAATGAGATGCAACTGTTGGCAAGCAGGGAGGACCACAATATGGATTGAGATTTATGCCAGCTTATAGGGCTTATTATAGAAATTTAGCTTAAGTTTTATTTCTTGCCCCTTTGAGTTTATGGTATGAGATTCATACCCACATGTGTCCCAAATAGAACTCTTGGTTTCCATCTTCCACCTAACCTGTTTCTCAGCCTAGCTTTCCTTTCTCAGGGAATAACACCAATATCCACCCAAGTATGCAAATTAGAAACCAGGCATTATTTCTATTTTCTCTGCCTTATCATTTAGCATATCATTCTTGAAATTCTGTATCTTACTCTTAAATCTGTTCATATTGTTTCACCTCTCTCTGTCCATTCTTTGTTCACTCAGATGTTGTGGCAGATAACATGCAAATAACATTAATTTTTAAATTATGATCAATGCTATAGGGGAGTACAGGGGAACCAAGGGGTCAGGACCACCACCTGTGGAAGTGGCATTTGGGGCAAAACTTGAAAGCTTGTAATGTTGCTGAAAGCCAGGATCCTTATCCCTGATGCCAATCCAATAATGAGGACACAGTTTTGAGAAACAGGAAAAAGGTTTATTGGTTTGCTAGAAAAGGAGAGACACAGGGGACTCCTGTCTCAAAGGCTGTGATTTTGCCCATCCACAGGTACAGGTTTTTTTTTTTTTTTTTTTTTTACAGAGGTGACTCAAAGTCTACATTTCTCATGTTCTGTCTCTGGAGTTGTAATTCACTTATTAATTTGGGAGATAGATAGTCATTTCTGAGATCTTCTGGTACCATCCTCACAGTTTGGATTACTTTGTTGCTATGGTGGGTTTGTACTCAGGGACAGATAACTCTGTTTAAGATGTGGAATAAAGGTAATCCTGTTTCCCTTGAGATTAGGGAGGAGCATGGAGAGAGGGAGAGAAAGAAAAATAAATAAAAATAAAAATAAATTACAGTGGCAGAGTAGCAAGGGTTATATTCAAAGCATAAAGTGGACCACTGTTACAGTAAAAGTTGGTGGCAGAAGGTAGGAGAGCACATATGTTCTAGAAAAAACCATTTGTGTGATAACTTTCATCAGGGTAAATTGTAGTATGCAGAGAAACCTGAAGGTGTCCAGGACAATCCCAGCCCTCATCAACTTTCACCTGAATTACTGCAATGGCCTCTTACCCTCTTTCCCTTCCTGGAGTCTAATTTTCCTTATCCCTTTTCCAGAGACTCAAAAGAACACTCTTTCTAAAGTATGAATCCAATTATGTGTCTCTTACTCAAAACAAGTCTCATTATCCTTAAGGCTAAGTATCTGATCTCTTTAGCATACCACCGAAACCCCTGTGATGTGGTATCTGTGTTGTTGTCTAACACTTTCTCATGGTTGCCAGAAACCTGGGTGGTGGCAGGCACTTCTCTTTGCATTTTTAGAAATACCTCACTCTGGCTTATCCCTGTATCTTTGTTTGTGCAATAGCTTCTAACCAGAAAGACTCTCCCTCCTGGAATTATGTTCAACTTTCCAGGCTTAACCTTTTAGGCTTCTTCATAGAATGTCCCCTTATAACACCCTGTACATGCCTCTACCATAGCACTTTGTACAAAGCCTTAAAATTCATTGACTCAATAAATAAATATTCATTCATTGGCTTCTTTTGGGAGATGCTAGAGGATACAGCAGTAAACAAAACAGATGTTACTCCTCAGGCTGGGGAATTTTAAATTTTAAAAGGGCTGGGGAAGCAGCTCAGTGGTAGGGTATTCCTGGTTTCAGTAACTTGGTAGGTGGGAATTGTTGCTTAATCATTTCCATATCCTCAATGGGTAGTACAGAAACAGTACCTAATTAAAGATAAATCTGATAATCCCAGTGGATGGGAGGCTGAGGCAGGAGGATCGCACGTTCAAAGCTAGGCTCAGCAATGGTGAGGTGTTAAGAAATTCAGTGATACCCTGTCTCTAATAAAATACAAAATTGGGCTGGGGATGTGGCTCAGTGGTTGAGTGCCCCTGAGTTTAATCCCTGGTACCAAAAAAAAAAAAAAAAAGATAAATCTGAAGTTGGGCATGGTGGTGCACACCTGTAATCCCAGAAACCTGGAAGACTGAGACAGGTGGATTGCAAGTTTTAGGATAGCCTGGGCAACTTAGTGAGACCCTGTCTCAAAATAAAATTTTAAAAGGGCTGGGGAAGTAGCTCAGTGGTAGGGCATTCCTGGTTTCAATCATCAGTACCTAAAAAAAAAAAAAAGGAAAAGAAAAAAAAAAAAGAAAGAAATATAAATCTGCAACCTGCATGAACTTGTAGCACAGGTGGAGCAGTGTTGGATTCTTTGTCTTGTGAATTTAAAGCATAAAATTCATGAATAGCAGTCTGTAAAGAAAAATGTAATTTATTAAAGCAAAGTAAAGTAAATCTCCTGTGACTAGGAGGGGACCCACGAAGGTTGTCAAAAAATGGCTCTTGTCTAGGGGTTTATATGGATCTGTAGGTTTAAGGAAGTCAACCCCTGGCCCAATACTGGGAAAGGCACTCAGTATCCATGAGGCATTCATAAAGTCTTTAGTCCAATCAAAATACTGATCAGGTGTTTTTCCTTCTTCAGAGGAATTATGGCCTCCAGGTCATGTATGTTCCTATGGACTCCAGGTCACATAAGTCCTGATTTAAAAACAACCTTTTTGCAACTTCATCAGCAAAAACCTGCAGTTGTTTGTGCTCTGATGCCAGGGAAATTCCCCTAGGGCCCATTTCCCTATCTGCCTAGCCTTACCTCTTCCTCCTGACCTCAAACTGAGGTAGGTTTCAGGCTCAGGTCTGTCCAGCTTCGAAGTCTATTCTCTTTCCATAACTATGTGGAGCCCATATTAATCTGAATAATTTAAAGGAAAAATAGTAACACTATTCATAAAAATGGTAGCACAGGTCATACATAAGTAGGATCTGGTTCATCCTAAGTGCTCAACAAATCATGCCATTTTGCTACTTTTTACTTTTTTTTTTTGTACTAGGAATTGAACTCAGGATCACTCAACCATTGAACCATATCCTCAACCCTATTTTGGATTTTATTTAGAGGCACTGTCTCACTGAGTTGCTTAGTGCCTTGCTTTTTGCTGAGGCTGACTTTAAACTCTCCATGCTCCTGCCTCAGCCTCCTGAACTGCTGGGATTACAGGCATGCGTCACCTCACCTGGCTACATTTTAAATTTTTTTTTTTTTTTGGTTTGTTTTTGGTACCAGAGATTGAACCCAGGGATGGCTAACCACTGAGCCACATCCCTAGCCGTTTTTTATATATTAGAGATAGGGTCTTGCTGAATTGCTGAGGGCCTACCTAAATTGCTAAGGCTGGCTTTGAACTCGAGATTCTTCTGCCTTAGCCTCCTGAGCTGCTGGGATTACAAGCAAGTACCATTCTTGTAATGCCTGGCCCCCAGCCCATTCTTATTTTTAAGTTGCTTAGGGCCTTACTAAATTGTTGAGACTGACTTTGAACATGCCATCCTCCTGCTTCTGCCTCTTGCGTTTCTGGAATTACAGGCATGAACCACCATGCCCAGCTGCATTTTACTTTTTAAAGAGGTGATTCTGAGAAAATGAGATTAGGGAGATCTGGAAGGAGAAGATCAGGAAAAGATCAGGAAAGTTAGGGAAAAGAAGATCAGGGTGGAGGTCAGGGAGAAGAAGGTTGGGAAAAAGAAAAATACATAGTTTCAAAGCCATAAGGAATATAGTCAAAACATCAAGTGAACCCCTGTTACAGTGAGGGCATGGATGAAACTGATCATTATGCTAAGCACAATAAACCAGGCACAGAAAGACAAGTACCACATGATCTTTCTCATGTGAGGTCTAAATAAATTGATCTCATAGGGGTTGAGAATATAAAAGTGGATATCACAAGTTGAGAGGTAGTGGTGGAGGGAGAAAAAGAGCAAAAGGTTGATTAATGGGCACTAAGTTCCAGTTAGATAGGAATAAGAAATTCTGGTGTTCTATTGCACAATAGTGTGACCATAGATAATACTTATGTTCCCTGTACTTCAAAAACCTAGACGGATTCTGAATGTTTTCACCATAAAGAAATCATAAATGAGGAGAGATATGCTTAATGTGATTTAAACATCACACAGCATATACATGTATTGAAATGTCACAGTGTTCTCCATAAGAACATACAATTATGAGCCTGGTGCAGTGGCACAAATCTGTAATCCTAGAGACTCTGGAGGCTGAGACAAGAAGATTTCAAGTTCAAGGCCAGTCTCAGCAATTTAACAGAGCCCTAAGCAACTTAGTGTGAGACTCTGTCTCAAATTAAAAAAATAAAAAAGGTCTGGGGATATGGCTCAGAGGTTAAGCAACCATGGGTTCAATCCCCGTGTATTGCCAAATAAATGCCAATCAATAATGAGGATACAGTTTTGAGAAACAGGAAAAAGGTTTATTGCTTTGCTAGCAAAGGAGAAACACAGTGAACTCCTGTTCCAGAGGCTGTGATTCTGCCCACCATAGGAACAAGGGGCTATTAAAGAGATGACTCAAAGGCTACATTCCAGGTATTCTCTGTCTGGAGTTGTAATTCATTTGTTAATTTGGGGGATAGTCATTTTGAGATCTTCTGGTACCATCCCCAAAGTCTAAATTACTTTATTCCTATAGTGGGCATGTATTCAGGGACAGATGACTCTTCCTAGGATGGGGAAAAAAGGTACCTGTTTCCCCTGCCATTAGGGAAGGGGAGAGATTGCGGGGGAGCAGAAGTCATCGTGTGTGCGCTGGGGATAGATTGAACCCAGGACCTTGTGCATGCAAGGCAAGCACACTACCAACTGAGCTATATTCCCCAGTGTGTGTGTGTGTGTGTGTGTGTGTATATATATAATATCTTTTAGTTGTGGATGGACCTTTATTTTTATTTATTTGTATGTGGTACTGAGAATTGAACCCAGTGTCACACATGCTAGGCAAGCGCTCTTCCACTCAGCTACAACCCCAGCCCACAATAATAGTTTTTGATATGAGAGCAACATGATTATATTTTCACTTACATCTTTGTTTTTTGGTACTAGGAATTGAAGCCAGGGTGTTTAACCATTACTAAAACCGAGCCCTTTATTTTTTTCAGACAATGTCTCTCCAAATTTGCCCAGGCTGTACTCAAGACTTCCATTTTCCTGCCTCAGCTTCTCTAGGAACTGGGATTAGAGTGCGTCATCATGTCTGGGTAATCCTTATTGATTTTAATAAAAGCCAGTGTGAACATGGCTCCTAGGCTCAATAAAGTTTTAATGACTTGTGATTACTCTAATTTTGATACTTAAAGGAAGGAGAAACTGAAGGGAAGAGCACTGGAGTAAGCAAGAATATGTACTCAAAGACCCACATCCAACTAATGCCCTCCTCCTAAATTTCCACCAATTCCCAGTAGCCAGTTTAGTTATAATGGATTAAGTCATGGATAAGGTTACAGCCCTCATGATCAAGTCACTTCTCAAGGCCCCACTTCTGAATACTATTACAATAGGAACCAAGCCTTTCACACCTGAGCCTTTGGGGAACATTTCAATCCGAACTATAAGAACTGATGGTCTCCTCTTCACCCCTAAGTGCTGGGAATTGAATCCAGGGCCTCACCCATGCTTGCTTGACTAGTACTCTTATCTCTGAGGTACACTCCCAGTCCCTCCCTTATTTTTAAATTTTTAATCAATGAATGAATGAATTTTTTGGTACTGGGAATTGAACCTAGAGATGCTTTACCACTGACATGTCCAGCTCTTTTTAGTTTTTATTTTGAGACAGAGTCTTGCTAAATTGCTTAATTCTTGCTAAATTGCTGAGGCTGAGCTTGAATTTGGAATCTTCCTGCCTCAGCCTCCTGAGTTGCTGGGATTATAGGCATTCACCACTGGGAAGGGCTCTACTTTCTTTCTTTTCTTTTTTTTAAACAAATGGATAATTTCTATAATATGGATATACCTTAATTTTTTAAACTAGTCCTCAGTTGGTGAACATAAGTTTTATGGTTTTTACTACTACAAATACATGTGAAGTAAACATGTATTGTTTACACATCATTGTATTATACTCTGGCTAATATAATTTGGACCAAGTTAATTAACCTCTATGTGGCATTTAAAATCTATAAAGCTTTCAGTTAGTTCAACTAATGTATGTAAAATTTCTTGCAGACACCTTGGCTAAAGAAATGTTAGTTCTCATCTCAAAAATCTACATAATGTTATGCTCATTTATGTTACTGAAACCTTGTTTCTTGTCCCCAATACCAATCCAATAATGAGGATACAGTTTTGAGAAAAAGAAAAAATAAGTTTTATTGCTTTGCTAGCAAAGGAGAAACACAGGGACTCTTGTCCTAGAGGCTGTGATTCTGCCCATCAGAGGGAACAGAGCTTTGTAAACTAGATGATTCAGAGGAATCCTATTTCCTGAGACTTAGTGGGGAGAGATTAGGAAGGAGAAGACAAGGGAGAAGAAGATCAGAGAGAAGATCAGGGAGGAGGTCAGTTTAATTTTAGAGCAGCAAGGGATATATTCAAGGCATAAAGCGGATTAACATAATTAACATAAAGATTAACATAATTAACACAATTATTCTCATTTACTATTATTCTAAATCCTTTGTTTAGATTTCATTAATGAGTAAAATGATGGAACATTTGTTACTGGGTGGCAATATCACCAAGTTCCTGGGTTCTTGTACTATCAGAAGATTAAGATAAAAGCACAATTAAGATGGGAATGAGACTCTATTCTTTTTCTTTTTCTTTTTTTTTTAGAGAGAGAGAGAGAATTTTTTTTTTAATATTTATTTTTTAGTTTTTGGCGGACACACATCTTTGTTTGTATGTGGTGCTGAGGATTGAACCTGGGCTGCACGCATGCCAGGCAAGCGTGCTACCGCTTGAGCCACATCCCCAGCCGGAGACTCTATTCTTTTTATTGGTACAGGGAATTTAACCCAGTCAGGCAAGAACCCAGTGGCTCTACCGCTGAGCCACATCACCAGCCTCAAGATTCTATTCTTATGGTTGGACATAGGGCAGGTAGCACTTGGGGCACAAAAAAAAAAACCCAGGTTGACTCAAATAAAGGACAAAAGTATACAGCTTTTATGGCACTTATGGAGTAGGCAGGTGCTCATTCTCTTGATGTAATCACATGTAGAGAGAGTTTTAACTGCTACCCATGGTCTTCTACATCGTGGGTCTTCATTTGGCTTATATCTCATTACCATCTCCTCTCCATTCAATAGTGAAAAATCATAAAAAAAAATCAGGTAACAGTTTTTTAATTTACTCCTTTTTTTGTACTGGGGTTTGAACTCAGGGCTGTCCACCACTGACCCATAACCCTAATCTTTTTTTCTTTGAGACAGGGTCTCAGAATAATTTCTGACACTGGGTTCAAATTGCAAGTCCTCCTGCCTCAGCTTTCTGAGTTGCTGAGTCAGGTGAGCGCCATGGCGTCAGGCTGCCCCTTTGACTTGTGGTGTTACCATCTAAGGGTGCTGGGGTTGTTGTCTCTGTACAGCAAAGAATTAAAGAACAGGACATAAAGAGAGCAAGCAAGCAGCAGGTCCAACCTCTCCAAAGAGAAGGGGCACTCCCTGCCCCCACAGAGCTGGGAATCAGTGGGGAGTTTTGGCTTCTTTTTATGATCTCTGGAATTTCCTCTTTTTCTTATCTCCTCTACTCATTTCTTATCTCCTCTAATATTATTGATTGGTGCTCCCTCTCTCCATGGGTCTGTTTTAGTTTTTCTATTGGATCCCACCCACTTAGGAGCACAAGTACAGGTCCCCTGCTGGTGTCCACCAGCATTTTTGTCAACCAGGAAGTTGACTTCCTTAGAAAACCATCTCCATGCTTCTTTTTTTCTGGCCATGCTGTAATAGCAGTCCACTTTAAGTTTTGAATATCACCCTTGCTGCTCTGCCACTGCAACTTATTTTAAAAAGGACCTGTTCTTTCTCTTCCTCTCTCTGCTCCTTCCTAATTGTTCCTCCCTCCCAAATCTGAGGATTTGGATTACCTTTCTTCACCATCCTAGACAGAGTTATCTGTCTAGACAAAGTTATCTGTCCTTGAGTACACACCCACCATAGGAATGAAGTAATCTAGACTTTGGGGATGGCACCAGAAGCTCTCAGAAATTACTATGTTACAACTCCAACAGACAACCCGAGGAATATAGTCTATGAACCTCTTTTTAAAAGCCCTTGTTCCCTCTGATGGGCAGAATCATAGCCTTTCGGGCAGGAGTCCCTTATATTTCTCCTTTGCTAGAAAAGCAATAAGACTTTTTTTCCTTTTTCTCAAAACCATGTCCTTGTTACTGGATTGGTATTGGGGACAAGGACCAAATTTTCCCTAACACTGACACTGACCTCCTCATTTGCCACCTTGCCCTGGCTGCCTAAGCCCTTCCATATCTCCCTCAGTGGCACAGGCCTGTAATTCCAGAAGCTCTGGAGATTGAGGCAGGAGGATCACACGTTCTAAGATTAACCAGTGCTACTAATTAAGACCTTGTCTCAAAATTAAAAATAAATAGGGCTGCAGATGTAGCTGACCTGTAGCGAGCCTCTGGGTTCAATCCCCAATACATGTGCCCCCCAACACTGCCCACCGCAAAAAAAAAAAAAAAAAAAGAAAGAAAGGAAGGATAGTGTGGTTACCTTCCTAACCATTTGTAAGATCTCTAGATGTATGCAAATCAAAACTAGATACAAGGATAGTGGCCAAGTATATGTAATTAAATATTGATCTATTTATTGGACATGCTACAATTATTTGTCCATTTCATTGTTTTTCACCCTTTGTCTTTGGGCATATGAAAAGCACAGCTTGTTGAGTTCAAGTTAGCAATATTTTCCTTGTTTCTTGGTTGGGCATCTTGATTAGAAATGGCATAAGCCGGTTTCTCCCATTATAGAAATTATTTCCACGGTCACAATGTGGTGTGGTGAAAAGAACGTGGGTAAGATGTAAACAAACTCTTACATCTTGGTGCCCAACTTTCATACTGTGCAACGATAAATGTCAATTTAACATTCTGACCCATTTCCTCATCTGCAAAATGAGGAAAATAAGACCCACCTAAGAGGTCGGTAAATGATCGAAATGCCTAGTATCTAGTAAATTGCGCCCAGAGGGGCAGATATTGTAAAAAATGGCAATCTCCCTGGTAGAAGACTAAAAAGTTGAGGCGCAAATTTTGGTGAGTTTACATTCCATACGTCTTTCTGGGAGCTTTTTATAAGTACTCCATTAAACTACAAACCCTATAATGCATGTAAAAGTTTCTGTGTATGAAACTCTATTGGCTCGGGGTAGGGCAAAGAGCTAGTCCCCCCCACCCCCCGAATTTTACCTATTTAAAACACCCTGTCTCCACCTTTCCTTTAAGCGCTTGCGGTACTTTTTCTTTCTCCCCGAATGCCAACTGTACAGGTTTCAAAGTGAGTCTTCCAATTAGAGAAACTGTGACTATCATAACATACATTTTTAACAACATGGGCTGTGTGAGGCCCTGAGATTCTGTCTAAATAATTCATTCTGTAAGTTTAGAATGAAGTATAACAATCACCACGATCATATTTGGTAGTGCTTTTTACCCTCTGGGAACCTGGGTTCGTTCCCAGCCTGTTTCCTTCAGGAACCACCCGCCTCCTACACTTATTATTGATATTCGACACACTCCCTATTTGCATACGAAGGTGGACTGATTGCTCCAGAGCGCCCCATCACTGCTGCGCTCCGCTTGCGCAGTGCCAGTAGAGGCGACGTGCGCTCTCCGTTTCACCCAGGCGCGAGCGCGGCGGCCGGGAGAGAGGCGAGTCGCGGCTCCGGCGAGTCCGCTCTGGGGAAGATGCCACAAAGTGTGTTGCCCAAGCTCGCGGCGTCTGCTGGGCGCCAGCGTTCCCCTCTCGCCCTCCAGCGGCCCCACCAATTGGGGTCGGGCGGCCGCGGGTAAGGGGAGGGGCGGAAGGTGCGGATCCTCTGGGAGCGGCGGGGAATTCCCCCTTCCACCGAACGTTCCCGATTGTTCACCGTCTTCACGTCAGCAGCAGGGGGTAATCCCCGACTCCAGCTGCTCCTGACGTCACCGAGCGGAGCCACCGCCCCCCCACCGCGTCCCTGCCTCCCGGGCCTCCTGGAAGCCCCGCCTCTAGTCGTAGCCCCGCCCCGCCCCCAGCCGCCCGACGTAGAGGGCGGAGCTTCTCTGACCGGGGCGTGTGCTGTTGCTTGGGCCAGAAGGTTCTCTGGTGCAGGCGCTCCTCCTGCTGCCCCGCCCAGTAGGTTCGTTCGTACCGTTTCTTGTACACCCTTTCTCCCTCCTCCTTCTCCTCGCCCCGCCTTCCCTCCTCTTCTCCTCAGTCCCTCTAGTTCTTTCCCCGCCTCACCACCTTCCACGATCTCGCGAGACTTGGCCCAGAACATTGCGGATCGGGTCGGCGCCATTTTGGGACTGAGACTGGTTGTGGGGGAGGGAAAAGCGGCAAAAGGGGATTATTCAAAGTACCGAAAACCTCCTCCCGGGATCGAGCGCAGCGGCACCCCCAGGCCAGGGACACCTCTGGTGGGGCAGAAGGTAATATCGTCCTCTGTGCTCCACGCCGGAGTCTGGGGGAGGAGGGGGCTGCCCGTGTCGGCGTTGGGGTTTGAGGGGTCGGGAGCTGCGTTGGCGGCGCGAGGTGTGAGGCTGCCCGCGGCCGGGGGGGGCGGCGGGGAGCCAGAGGGGCGAGGAGAGGGAGGCGCGGGGAGGCCTCGCCTGGGTGTTGACTCAGCCCCGGTGGCGCGGAGGTGGCGGTTGTGGGAGGGGGTGGGTGCTTTGCCTTGGCGGCTGCGTGGTGGGGGGAGTGTTTGGCGGAGGCTGGAGCGGTCCGGCGCCCTCCGCGCTCTGTCTGCCTTCCTCAGGCCTCTCGCACGCGCCCGCCTGCTGTGCACCACTACCCTTCTCCGAAGCTGAGGGAGTCGAGGCCGAGTTGTGGCCTTCGGCTGTTTTCTTCAGCAGCGCTTCCGCGCCTCCCGCCTCTCTCGGATCCTTGGCTCTTGCCGGGGACCGAGGCCAGTGCTACCTTGCTCCTCACGAGTCCTGAGGGGACTGAAGAGACTAATTCTTTCGGGAGGCGAGATCTTTTTTTTTTTTTCCGGTTTAGGAGATGGGCCTGGTACCTCTCACTAATTTGGTTTTTGGGAAAAACCTGTTTTCTGTATTTTAAGGAAATAGGAAGCTATACCTTTATCCCACTGCCGCCCTCCAGAGCGGAGAAGTCTGACCCTCAGGCGAATTTAAGAAACATTCTTGGTCCACTCCTCCACCTCTCTAGCTTAGTGGAGAAAACATGCCTCTTTTAAACATTCAAATTGGAGGGAGCGTCTCTCTCATGTCCCTCATTCTCCCAAGTTACACATTTACTAATGCTTCATGGTAGCACAACTATTAGTTTTCCTTTGGAACATTGAATAGAATTGGAGAAAATCTTTTGTAAGATTGTCAATTTCATAGTTTTAGTATTTATTCAGAAAGGTTAGTTTCGCTCATGATCCCCCAGTTCCCCAGTATTACATCCGCACGCTGTTCCCAGTTCGAATCAGTACTTGTCCTCCTGCTTCCATTACCCACTGGTGCCCCCCACTCCCTTCCTTTTCATTCAGTAGACTTTTTATTTAAAGAGTGCTTGCTTTGGCAAAGCCCTTTTCCAGGTTCCTGTAGGATTATACAGAAGTGAATTTTGCTTTAAACGTTGATCTTTAAGATGGGGATAGATTTTTTTTTTTTTTTAGTTCAAAACCCAAACTCTGTGTAATTTAATTTTTCAAATAACTTTTCACAGGTGATTGAATTATTCAGATATGAAGATCATCTTCTAGGTTTTGTGTAAAAGGCCCCGGATATTTCAAGTGGCCATTTTGGAATTACAATGTTTTTGGATAATTTTGCCCCTGAAGTTTATTAAAATTGGCAAGAATCATCTCTGAAGTGAATTGATAGTAGTGAACAGATTCTACAAACTACTTAAAAAGAGACCCAGGCATTTCTTCAGTATTTTGGTTCAAACGGATTATATAAGTGGTTAAAAGTATTTCAGCTGGTGATATTTTTGCCCCCCCACCCCCATCCTGTTGTTGTTCTTCAGCCAAACTGTAAGATATGTTTGATTTGTGTACTGAGTAGTTTCAGCAGCTTCAAATTACTGTTTTGAGTATTGCTAAAGTTTCATGGCAGTTTATTTTTACCTTTATTAAAACTTTAAGGAATTTTTGACCTCAGCCCTTTTCATGTCACAATGGGACAGCTTTTCTAAATGAAGACATTGAAAGAATACAGAGTTTTTTTCTTTTTATCTTTTACTTACGTGGAAATTTAAGATGTTGCAGTTTTCCACCAGCATGGTAGTATTGAGATAGCTATTTGTGTCTTTATGTGCTGATGTTTAGGAATACTCTTCAGATGTGAAATTTTCTGTTCGTTTCTGCTTTTTGGCTCATAAGTTGGATATTTCATCTGGATAAGTACAACAGTTACAAGTACATGGAATAATAAAGAAGACTTTGATCTTAAATCCGAGGAACTTGGCTAATTCTGGAGATAGCCATATGAAAACTTTAAAACAGAAGTATGGGTAGCTGACTTGAAATAACTCTATGTCAAATAGTCATAGGTTAAGCATCTTCAAAGAACTTGGATATTTCAGAGGATACAAAATAAAAAAACAAACTGGAAAACATAAAGATTACAGAGAAAGAACCAACACCTTCGTGGGCAGTCCTGTTGGAATTTGTAAGTATTATGGTGAGCAAATCAAATATTCATTTGTTAACTGTGATGAGAGTCAAATTTATCCTGTATTATTCTTGGAAACCTTTCATTTTCTTGCAATAGTATTGCTTGGCTTCAGTTTCCTGGACAGTCTGAAAAACAACCATTAACCATTGAGTAAATTGAAATGCAGAGAAAAGATTTAAGGATTAGAAATATTTCAGAAAAAGTCCTAAGTTAAAGGTCTTGTGCTTTTAAAAAACTAAATCCATATGGTCAGTGTTCACTTTGGGCTTGTGGATTCACAGAATAGTAGAAAATTAGGGAAAAACGCAATTAATATTTCACAATTCTCTAAGCTGTTTTACGTATTAAATGTATGTTTTTTGATAGACAGTTTGCTTTCTAAATGTGGGCTTAGACTTGCAAATAAAGTTTAGTGTTCCATATTAGTTGATTAAAACAAATTATAACAGCTCTCGGTTTTTAATCTATTTCATGAAATAGCTTGTTTTAAGGCACAACCCTTCCATAACATTTTAATCCGTTATTGGAATTAACTTTTTTTTTTTTTTTTTTTTGGTACTGGGAATTTAACCCATGGGTGCTTTACCACTGAGCCAGGTTCCTGCCCTTTTGTTATTTTGACAGGGTCTCCCTGAGTTACCTAGGCTTCACTAAGTTGCTGAGACTGGCTTTGAACTTGGCAATCCTCCTCCCTCAGCCTCCAGAGTAGTTGGGATTACAGGCATATGCCACCATGCCAGGCCAGAATTAACTTTTTGAAACAATTTGTTGAAGTGGTTTTGTATTTCAAATTGAGTTAGAATTTTAATTTTAAAAAGGAAACAAATGACCAGGAAAGAAAGAGAAAGGAATGGAGCAAGCAGAATTAAGAACCTTTAAAATCTATGACTGTATTCCCCCCCCCCCCCCCCCCCAGGAAAGGTATGCTGGTTTAAGATTATAAGCAGTGTTTTTTTTTTTTTTTAATGTTGTGACTATTAATTGCTCTAGTACAAATCCTTTGGCTAATTATGTTTTAATAATATGTTTTTCAGCAATGAAAGTTTTTAGTGACCATTAGTTACTATATTTAATTTTTCAGTGTATTGTGGGCACTCATGGGTGTTGTTTTTAAAAGAAACTTACTGAAGTTTATGTTAAGGCTGTTAATATTAGTGAACAGAGGGCTCATCTGGCATGTGAGATGAGCATCACATAAAAATAAAAGTATTGTGTACACCTACAACTAAAAAAAATGTTTAAAAAATAAAGTACTTTAAAAAATATCAGGGAACAGGTCAGTGTAAGTAAAATAAATTTGAGCTTATTTCATCTAATTATTTTTCTGAGAGAAAAGATGACTTGTCAGTTGCTCCTTTCATTCTTTTTTTGGGTACAGGAAATTGAACCCAGGGACACTTTACCTTGGAACTACATTCCCCAAGCCCTTTTTTTAAAAAATATTTATTTTTTAGGTGTAGATGGATCCAACACAATGCATTTATTTTTATGTGGTGCTGAGGATCTAACCCTGGTCCTGCCCTTGCTAGGGGAGTGCTCTACCACTGAGCCGCAATCCCAGCGCCCCCAAGCCCTCTTTTTATTTATTTATTTATTTTTGTTCTTTTTTTAAAAAAATTTTTATTGTTGGTTGTTCAAAACATTACATAGTTCTTGATATATCATATTTCACACTTTGATTCAAGTGGGTTATGAACTCCCATTTTCCCAAGCCCTCTTTTAATTTTTTTTTTTTTTTTTGTAACAGTCAGCCAAGTTGCTCAGGGCCTTGCTAAATAGCTGAGATTGGCCTCAAACTTTATGTTCCTCCTCCCTCAGCCTCCTGAGTCTCTGGAATTACAGACCTGTGCCACCACGCCTACCTACTCATTTATTACTAAAGAAACTTTTGCTAACCTGTTGAATTCTGTTAGCTCTGCTAGAGCAAAAGAGGTAGTAAAGTCCAAAAGAATGTAAGTAGTCAGATAATCATTGTAGGATTACTTTCTGTTCTAGAATTGAGATCAGAGAGTTTTACAACACTCTTTTGTCATAATAGACTGGGTTGTCTGTGTTTTCTTCATTACATATGTGTGTAGTATTTCTAATTTGAGTTTCTGTTTCAATTTATATAAAATTTGAGAACATTCTACTCTTCATCTGGGGGAGCTTGTATTTTATGCATTCCAACCTAATGACTTTTCAAGTTGTCTAAGAATATACATTTGAGATGTGATTATGAAGTTGGACTGGAATCATATGACCTTTATTCATAAAGAAGTTTATAGCATTTGTTGTTTATGATAGTTTTTCTTTAAATTCCCTTATTGTTAATCTCAAGCAGTAGTATCAGAATAGAATAGTCTATAGATACTAAAGTTTTTTTTTTTTTAACAATTTAATCCTTGTATAGTCTGACATTTATAAACTTTGCTTATAATAGTTGTTCAAGGACACATTTACTTAAATTTTGTTTTGTTTTGTTTTGTTTTTGGATAGTGTGAATTGAACCCAGGGGTGCTTTACCACTGAGCTACATCCCAGCCCTTTTTTAATATTTTATGACAGGGTCCCCCTGTTGCTGAGGCTGGCCTTGAACTTGTGACCCTCCAGCCTCAGCCTCCCTAGTCACTGGGATTACAGGTGTGTTCCACCATGCTGGCCTACTTGAATGTTTTGGTAAATGTTTCCAACATTTTATTTTCTGAGGGTTAAAATAATGGTATCACTAGTAATTGGAGCGATTGCTGGACTGCTTCCCCTCTTCTCTGCATACCTTTTTTTAAAAATTCCTTTTTGAGTCCCCCTACCCCCTTTCTCTTATGTATAAACTATAGGTCTAAATAATTTACAAGGTATATGGGTGATAGTGGTGACAGGTGTTTTTTCAGTGGGCTTTATGTGATATATCTTTGTTTTGGTACTGGGGGTTGAACCAAGGGGTGCTTAACCACTGAGCCAGTGGTTTTTCTTTTTCTTTTTTTTTTTTGATACCTGTGATTGAACACAGGGGCGCCATAGTACTGTTCTCTTTTTAAAATTTTTTGAGACAAGGCCTTGCTAAGTGAGCTTGCTCAGACCCTTGCTAAATTGCTTAGGCTGGCCTGAACTTGCTATCCTCCTGCCTTCTTAGCCTCCTTGGTTTCTGGGTTTATAGTCCTGTGCCACCACCCCTGATTGAGAATTATTTCAAATTGATAATTTTGTGGAATTTGTATGTGATTTTTGGGAAGTAGTTCTATTAATTTCAAGTCAGACCCTCATGAAAATGTTAATTACAGGTAAACCTTTTTGTGAGGTGTCAAATAATCATTATAGTAGGACAAACCTTTTTATGTGGTAGGGTCTCTCAATTTTACCTGCTTGCTTTTTCCTTTTTTATCAGCTGGTGGGGCAGCTAGCCCTTGAAGTAATTGTTACACAGGGTTTCCCACTCACTTTTTAAATTTTTGTTATAGGGAGAATTGAGTGAAGGAGCATTCCACACTGAGCTACTACACTCCAGCTCTTTTTTATTTTGAGACATGGTCTCACTATAAGTGGCCTCAAACTTAGGCTTATCCTGCCTCAACCTCCCAAGTAGCTGGGATTGCACCACCATGCCTTCCTCATTATTTCAACAGTGAATCTGGGATTCTTATGTCTCCCCTCTCCCCACAAATTTAACAGTTTTATTTATAATTGTTATGAAGTTGAACTGCTGAAGCATGTTCACTGAAACATTTTGACCACGTTAATGCTTTATATCCCATATTTATATTAAAAATTCACACAAGTGAAAATAGAAAAATGGCCAGTACCTGATTTCTGTACCCTGTTTTTCCCACTCAGTCATATATGTAGGTACTATTTGACCCCATAGGGGGAAATGTCTAATGTTCAGAACTAACAATAAAAGAAGAGAATGAAATCTTAAGCATGTTCTCCACTTATGCTGCGTGCTAGTTGGATATCTTTTGGCATAGTTGTTACTTGTTTGGCATGTATAGCACACAGGTTGGTGTCTTCAAAAAGGCTAAAAACCAGGTAGGCCTCACTTGCTTCCCTTCAGAGCACTAATAGCTGTGCTCTGCATGTGCAGGTCTGTTTTGAAGTCCTGAGCAATTTGACACACAAGACACCAGAAGGGGAGTTTGTGAATCAGAAGTTCAGTGGACTTCTGGTAACTTGTAATTTCAGGGAGTGCTACAGTACCAGTGCTGTAACAATAAGGTTTCTTCACCACTCCAGTAGAGGGTGTATTCCTGTGAGTAGCTTTTGTAGTCATTTGTTTCCTGGGTACTTTACCACTGATTAGAGAGTGATGGTGGTGCCATTGCAGTGGCTGTGAACACTCTTAAAAATCTCTTTGAGTGCTAGTTATGCTAGACAACTCAGCAAATGAGTGTCCACTTTGTGGTGTACTATCATTTAGTAGTGAACATAGCAAAAATGTTAAGATCTTTCTGTTCTGAAGTTCTGTGAATATAGAATAAAAGAATCATTGAATTTAAATCATTATTCCATCCCATTGATTAGGTAATAAATATGTGATGTTGATCAAGGCAGGCTTTTAATTTTTTTTATTTATTTTTTTGGTACCAAGTATTGAACTTGGGCATTAAACCACTGAGACACAGCGCTAGCCCTTTTTGTATTCAATTTAGAGACAGGGTCTCACTGAGTTTCTTGGGGCCTCACTAAGTTGCTGAGGCTGACTTTGAACTCTCTATCCTCCTGCCTCAGCCTGCTGTGATTACAGGTATGTGCCACCATGCCCAGCCCAGATTTTTTTTTAGATAAGAATGTTCTTGTTATTCAAAATAATGCTTCATAAGGTTATCATTAGAATAAAGTGAAATAATGAGTGCTAAAATGTATTGCAGTTGTAAAATGATAATAATAGTAGTATATAGCTGACTACACAGATGACAGTGATTGAGGACCATGTGATGATCCAGGAGGGAGAGTTTGTGAATTTGGAACATAAAATAAATATAGAATGGACAAAATTCATCAGAATTTAGATTTGCATTTTGTGACATTAA